CTCTCTCTCTCTCTCTCTCTCTCTCTCTCTCTCTCTCTCTCTCTCTCTCTCTCTCTCTCTCTCTCTCTCTCTCTCTCTCTCTCTCTCTCTCTCTCTCTCTCTCTCTCTCTCTCTCTCTCTCTCTCTCTCTCTCGATTCCATTCCGACAGCGAGATCCTTTTATAAGAGAGTTTGGCTCTTTACTTAATTCTTCTAATTCGGAGGCTGGGGAGTCGTGACCCATCCTTGATTCCCGGCCATTTCCATATTTCTTCCGTCCCGCTGCTCCCTTTGGGAGCGCGCCGACGGCGGCGGCGGGAAAGTATTGTCGTAGTTAAGGCAGTCGCTCGCGGCATACAAATAACGTAGTTTTCATAGCGCCGCGGCGTTTCAGCGTCGCTAACAATGAATGAAATGCCGATGTCGTTATCATCCGCTCGGCCGGATAAATAAATACGACCGTGCCTGAGACGTGAGAGAGGAAGAGAGGAAAAGAAGGTGGAAAGAAAGACACGACGGAGGAGCGATTTTTATTAGAGATACGTTCCACGAGCAAAACGGGGACTCGTGCGCGCACGTGCGCGCCCGATATCGTCGAGATTATGGCGCCCAGATTTATCGCGTGCCTATAAATTTCAAAATATATCCGGCCCATGAAAAAACTATAATTTCGCGGGGGCCGAAATTGCCGGGGATCGAATCTGCGGCGAATTCTTTATCACTTGCAGATATACACGCGTGATCGTGATTGATTCATGGATATTCAACCGGCGCGGTGTCGACGGAGCCGCGAGATTAATCGGACACGGGAGAGAGTATCCGGCGTTAAATATTGGATTAGCGCTCCATTCATTCCCTCGTCCAATCATTAATTATTGAACAAAAGCAAAAGACTTTCCGCGGTAATTAATGCCAAATAATATGGAGGTACACCTGCGCCACGCGAAAATGGCAACGATGACCAATCGACGACGGGGCATATAACGAGGATCGTTGTGTCGGATGTTGCGAGGACGAGGCGGCTCGACGTTTAAATGTCACGGCAAACGTTGCCCTGACTCCATCGCGTGGCGACACGTGCAATCTGGTGCGTGCGTGTTATATCACGGGGCCGGCCGGGACAAAAACGGATATTTCCAGGCCGACTCGTCGAGGGCCGCTATGCTGCGCGGATTGCCACACACAACGGCATTTCCGGCCGGCGTGGCGGCTGGAGTGTACGAGCAGTCATTCCGGCCAGGGCGAGCATCATTGAACCTTGCTCAGCGGAGGCACGGAGCTATCAAAGCTACGCAAAACAGGAAAATGGCGACGACGTTGTTCCGCGCGCAAACGCTCGTCCGCGGCTTTTCAACCTAAACCATCGCGCTCGGAATTCATTAAATTACGAACGAACACGCGCGCGCGCGTCTCTGTCCCTTTTTGCCCGAATAAAAAGCAAATCTTTTCAAACAAAATAGGCTTCACGTCGAAATCCCGTTAAACGCTTATTCGGAATTAAATGAGGAATATGTCAGCCGTTATCTTATTCCTTTTATTGGGATTTGTTGCGACATAAGTTTTTTTATTTTCGGCCATT